GGAAAAAAACCTATCTCAGTTTCTTGACATATTAATAGGAATAAAGCAGTTAACGCGGTATTTTAACTCCACACAAGATGAAGCCTAATGCTTTCCTTATTATGTTATTTGCCATAAGAAAATGCTTCCAAAAATTATTGAACAGATTTGTTTCTATGAATTGTGCTAGAAACCATTAGCCAATTCTTTAATGTCCATTTAAAAATAATGGAAGGAATAAATAATTAATAAGACATACAATGTAGACATTTATTGTAGAGGTTAGAGATAATGGCCCACGAAGGGAAGAGTGTATTACATTATGGAGTCAAGTAAACTACAATCAGCTTAATGATTAAAGTGTTCAGAGTATTTTCTGTTCTCCACCAGTGCTGTTTGTAAGTAGACGTCTGAACCTTGCTTTACTGAAAAGCATATGAAAGAAAAATTACATATGTGACTAATTTAGCCCAGAGATCTGTACCGGTACTTTTTGTGAGGATATCCACAGTCTGATTGTTTTCTAAACTGTGGAGGAAATATACCAAGGATTCTTCAAATGATGTTACTTGTACACATTACAGGTAAAACACCAGCAAAATTACACAATTGAACCCAAATTACGATCCAAAGACATTTTCAACATTTTCCACAGGACTACTTCTAATGATTTTCTCTAGCATACTTCATCAGTATGTTGTCAAAGCAGGAAGTATACAATTTAATTCAAATAAGTCATATGCATGTGAAGTTTGTGGTAACAAAAAATTAAAGAATATTCATTAGTAATTGAGACTTAGAAGATAATGAAGACTCTCAACTGTGGTGCCATAGTTTTCTTCAACCAAAACTGGCACTGCCCTGCAGAGACATTTGCTTTGTATTAATGCAGTACTTTAAATGTAGTTTGCATAAACAAACAAAGGCGAACGGTATTTACCACTTGCCAAAAAAATTAAATACAGTTATCAACAGTCATTACATATCTCCACTGGCCCTCTTTCTACTGCAAAAAAAACCCAAACAAAAAAGCCATCACACCAGCAGACATTAACCTTCAGCCTGCAGAAATTTCATCTGACGGAAGTCAGCCTCCTGATGCCTGAGAATTACCCATGAACACACCGCTGTGTACCATGAACAAATCCACAACATGGTGTTTTCCCAAACACAGCCAGGATAAGACTTATCACAAACTATAAATCCACCACAGGCCAAGCTGTTGCAGTGTTAAGAGCTGAAGCCCCCATGTTCTGGCACCAGTTTGGTGCCCTGAAGCCCACAGCTCAGGCCATGTGTTCCCACTCCCCACCACACCAGAAGTAGCAGTACCTTGGACCAGAATCTCCAACAACCAGTGTGAGAAGAACCTCAGTTTCCAATTACTGACATTGCAACTAGAACCTTCTTGGCATCTAAAGCACTTCATTCTTGAGTTAGGGCTGGAGTTAGACTTTGGCGTTTTTTGAAAGCATGGCAGGAGGAAGGAGAGGTTCTCTCATCAGCTAAACAGGCAGAGGTTAGACCTGGAGAGTCATAAGGACAACAGTGAAGTCCTATCTGACACTTCCCAGGAAATTCCCTTCATCACCAGGCCAGAGGCTAGCTGGGAGGAATGCCTTTCATTGACCCTACTGAAAGCCTGTTATTCTGACAAACTAACATTCATTGGGCCAGGGAAGCAAGGCATCACTTTGCAATGCAACAATTAAGGTACCTAGCTGGGAGCAGGGACATTTGAATTTCAATCCCTGTTACAACACTGCTTTTCTAAATGATTGCATATAATAATAAAGTACATGAGCAACCATGAAGAGCCAGGAACAGAAACTGAGTTCCTTAATAACCCATTAAAACCCATCCATTACCCTGGATACCAGCAGGACACAGACTCAGCCATCCTGTGCGGCTGCATTTTTACTGTTACGGATACTCAAGTTACCTGGTACTATTTCAAATTATTTATACCTGCTGCAATCATATCTATTATTAAAGACAGACATACATCCATCTTGGGGTAGTTTTTCCTTCCAATCCCTTTAGAGGCATTTGTAGTGTCTACTCCTGACTAATCCCAATTGACAAGAAAGAAGAAAAGAATATAAAAAACCTCTGTTACTCCTTTCACACCTACTGTGATATTTACCCCTTTCTCTGGTCTCTCCAATTCTTTCCCGTGCTTTATTCTTCTTTGTTATCCTCCCCCTCATCATCCTTTTTCTTTCATTTCTCTTCCTCATTTATGTGGTTTTGCCTTTCTTCCCTCTTCTTTCTTGCTTCCTTCCCTTCATTTTCAACATTCAGTGACCTGATCCTGCAGTTTTCCTCCTACATTTCTGAAACTCAAAATGCATGGACCATAAAAGCTTAGGAGGTAAAAAAGGTATAGGAGCAAACATCATTCCCTCATTATTACCTCATTTTAAAAGAATCTAAGAGTGTGGTTTTTTAATTTTTTTTTCCTTGATTACTGCTGTATGAAAGGCCTAGACAAACAACAAACCCAGGAAAAATGAAAGAGCCATTGGAGTGGAATGGTTTCAGCGAACGCTGAATGAACTGTGATCTTTGGTAGCATAAAGATCAACACGAAATGCTTTCAGCTGTAGCAATCAGTCGATACTTTCCAGACCATCCCCACGGTGACAAAGACAGAGGCATTTTTAAGTTGTAATTGAGATTAGCCTTGATACATACAGTTGGAGCTATGCCTGTGAACTTTGCTAAAAGGCTGGCTATGTAAACCATCTATCACTCAGTTTCACATGAGCAGTAATCTAATGACACCACAGAAATCTCACCATATCCCTTGCTACACACGTCTAGGCACAGCAGTGGACTCATGCCAGGGTGCTTCAGCTGTGCTTCTGAAGGATTTGCCTCCCAAGATCTGGAGCAACATACAGATCCTCACTAAAAACTGTCGTTATTCCTTCTTAGGGTGCCCAAGTTCTGTGCAATGTTCAGTCTTGTAGCCCAAAAACACTCTTGCTCTAATCCAGCTTACTAGATTTGCAGTCATGTGCTAACTGAAAACCCATGCATAATACTACTGACTCCAGCACGCTTTGGATGAAGCCCATAGAGACAGGCAAGATTGCTTTTCGTAGATGGGAATAAAATATTTTGTTTGTTACTATTAAGCTAACCACAATAAAAATAAATAGTTCTCTTTCATGTGGTGATGGAACAAAGCAACCATGCTGTATTCCTTTTTTAATTACTAGGTTGAAAGAATCACTGTCTTCCTGGCATGTTTAATTCTGAATCATATTCATCACATATATAAATAGCCAGCAACTGTATATAGTACAGAAGGGTGGACAGGAAGGTTAGGGAATTAGCTTGATGTCAAGAAAGCATTTCCTGTGGAGTCACCAAATCTGTCCTGGATACAGACTCTTACATTGGCTCACAGGGAGCCTGAAGCCTGCTGTGTCCTCGTGTACCAGACATGCCAGGTGAGCATCTCCAACTTTACTGGCATTTGGAAGTTTCTCCTCCTCAGACATCACATAGGCATAACTTACTTTTTGGGGCTTTGTAATGATTAGTAAAAGATCCTTCCTCTCTGCCTTGTGTTACAGGCAGTGTACACTTTAGTGCCAAAGCCCCAGCAGCTACTCCAGGGGGTCAGGGAGACTACTTTCTCCATCGAAATCTGAGCGGACAAATCTTGGAGGGAAGCATTGACTCTACTACCACTAAAAACCAGGACGTTGAGCATAAAGAAGTGGCTGCAAATAATACCATGGACAGGGTGCTAAAAGGCAGAGTTAAAGTTGCGGCCAGTCACGACTAAACTCACACATTTTTTATGTGGTTTGCATAATTCACATAAACACAAAGATTAGCACAAGTCTGGCATTGAACTGCTTAGGCCATCAGGAAAACTAAGCTAGAGTCTCCTGGGACTTTTGTAGTAACGCGGACATTGCCTTAGCACTGCTGCGTGCCGCTTCACAGACCCACGGCAGCTCTCAGCTGACTTCACAGAATCACAGAGGTTGGAAGAGACCTTTAAGATCAACCATCAACCCAGCACTGCCATCGCAACCCCTAAACTACTAAGCAATAACACCCAGCACCAGATCCAGAGAACTCTCAAACACCTCCAGGGATGGTGAGTACACCACCGCCCTGCGCATTGTAACAGAATGCAGGAACTTCTCAGGAACAAGCGAATTTTCCATGCTCCCTCGTTCGGCACAGCGGCAGTGGACACACACGACAGGCAGCCGCCTCGCACAGCAGCCCGGGGCGGGAGGAGCACATCCCGCCCGCGCTGGCCAGGGCCCTGCCGGGGAATGCTGCCGGCCGGCCCGGCCGCTGCCCCGGGCGGGTGATTGAACCCCGGCTGTGCAGCACCGGGGCATCCCACGGTCCCGCACTCCGCCCGTGAAGCCACACGCGGTTTAGGAATTAAAACGAGGGTGGGCAGGTTTGTTGTCGCCGTCGGCTGCAGTTTGAACCAGCGCACCTTGCCCGGCTTGGAGCAAGGTCACGGCCTGCCCGACCGGCCGCGGGGGGGCCTGCGCCCCCCGCCCCCGACAGCCCCAGGAGGGGCGGCGCCGCGTCCCGGGCGCCGCGGCCGGACTTCATCCTCCACCCGCGCGGCTATTTTTAAGGCTTATCCTGGCTGGACGCTGTTCCCGCACGGTCAGGACTCTACCTGCGCGTCCCGCGCCGGCCGCCCCCCCCCCGCCACAGACGCACGGCCCGCGAGGGACGCCCGCCCGCGCCAGGTGAGCGGAGCGGGGTGCGGGACCCGCGGGGGCAGGTGCGCCGGGGCGCGCGGGCGGGACCGGGACGGACGGCCCCGAGGGGACGCGGGCCGCCGGAGGGAGGCAACCTGGGCGGAGGAGCCGCGCACTGCCGCCCGACGGCGCTTGGCGAGGGATAAGCGGCGGCGGGTGCGGCGGGCGCTGCCGGGGCCTCCGCGAGCGGAGGGGGGCAGGTGAGCCGGGCGCGGAGAGCGACGCGGCGCATTTTTCTCCAGCGGAGCCGAGCTACAAGTGACGGGCGGCGTGTGTGCGTCGGTGTAAGTGCGGGCTTCTTGTCCTGCAGAAATGTGAGTGTCGTCCCGCCCCCCTCATTCCCCCTCGCTCTCTCAGTGAGGGCTTCATCGGGGCGGTCGGATAAACGGGGCGCGTGAGAACGGAGGCAGGTGGCTGAGAGCTGCCCGAGCGCCGAGGGTGCCGGCGGAGGAAGTGGGTCACTGCCGCGCTCCGTCCTGCTCCAGCTTATTTCCTTCTTTGCTCTTCGGCTGGCCCGCCCGCCCGCGCTCCCGTGTGCTGCGAGGTGGCCGGCGGAGCCGCGGCCTCGGGCGCAGCGCAGGTGAGGCTGCAGCGGGGCCCGCCCGAGGGGCCTCTGCCCCGGGCTGGGGAGGTTCCGAACTTCCAGGGGCCCAAGCTGTGTGTTAAGAGTTTTCGATATTGAGCGATATGGAAATCGTATGTTGCTGGGGTAGCTTTTTTATCTAGATGAACGCTGACACCGTGGTTGAAATCTGCTACAGCTTGCTGTCTTGCACCCCAAGTGCTTTGGTCCTGCACTAGGAGTACAAACACTCCTGAGACTTTTTTTTAGGAGTATCTTTACTGCTTGCTCCTCCGCTCGCTGCTATTTATACCACGCAAGGTTGGCAAGGAGGGGAGAGCCAGAGTTTAAAACGACATGGAGCTTAAACTTGATACCATTGTTCCAAGGCCAAGGCAAGACTGCAAATATTTAAAATAAAACAAAAAAATCCAGCAAACAACTCTGTGAAAACACCTTACACGTGCTTTTCTACTGTATGATCAAAGCAGAGAACTGAGCATCCCCTTCTCATGAGGGGTACGTAGGTTTTTGCTTCAGATGTGGCTCTGACAGTCTGACACGGGGTCTGAGCCTCTGCTTTGGCTTTATGTTTTGTTTGAGTTATGCTTGTGATGTGATGGGCAGTACAGCTGGTTAAACCCCACACCAGGGGGTTATCTGAAAGATGAAGTCTCACACTGCGACAGATGCATGACTTTCACTTAGGCAGGTAAAATAAATTGTTATTGGTCATTGCTAATAGGTCTAAGAGTAGCTATATGTAAAATATTGTTAACACTAAGTCTAATTAATTGAGTGATACCTACACTGTTGAATACATATTGACGGCTAATAATTTTTTTCTTTCTTTTTCTAAATGAACTCAGTACACAGTAATATTTCTCTCTCTGAAGTGAGGAGGGGTAAGGTGTTCATTTAATGAAACTTATTTTATTTTGGAGATACAAAAGCTTTAACGTTCATTATTTATCTCACTAAGATTTTCAGAGTGGATGGTGGTGTCTAATGTGATGGATCTCCCTAGCTGGATTGCTGGATAAGGCAGGTATTAAAAGTTGTTTATTTCTTGTGACGTGCACTGTGCGCTGGTGGAACTGCAGCACCGCATTGTAGCGGCTGGCTTAAGTGACTCCAGATCAGCCACTGGGTTAACTTAGTTCTCCTAGTGCTCATTATTGTGAGTGAGCAATAGGTTGCATTTGAGCTCTGTTTTTATGTAGTGTAATTGTACATGTGGTAACAAGACTGTATTTAAAATTCATAGAGTCACTTTTAAAATATTGCAGATTTCTGGCTGAGATCAGTCTGCTTCAGAATTGTGGCTAAAACAATGATAATAATCTGATAACTTTAAGCTAAAACTTTACTTAATATAATTTTCCATCCAGGATAAACATGATTCTGTATGTCAAGATTCTGTAACTTGAAAATATTCAAACAAATGTTAAACTTTTAGTAGCTGGCCCGTTAAAATGGGTTTCATGATCTTTTTGAGAAATTATGATTCAGTAGATAGGAAGCCTTACTGTCGGATTCATAACTACCCCTGATTCTCATGTGGTTTACTCAGTCTTACAGCTGAAATCAGTATCTAAGAATTGGCTAACTGCAAAAATGCAATGTCAAGGCTTTGACAAAGTCAAGATTTGACAGAGTAATGACACAGTAAATGCATTTGGGGCTCCTGTTTCTAACTCTTGCATTTTGTGGCTGCAAAATTTGTCTGCAACCACGTATAGAAGAAGTGGATTTCTTTTTTAGAAAAAGCCAAAAATGCCAACTATAAGTAGACTTTTTTATAGTCTTGTAGGACCTAGTATTGGACTGAGATCTAACATGTCAGATAGCTAATGATGTCAACAATCTAGCAAAATAATTACTTAGACTAGTATAATAGAAACTGTGGAATGCAGATTAGCCAGCTGATAGTGTGGGACTGATTTTTTTGTATCTAAAAAATAAAAATATACATACTTTTTATACATGTATAAACATATATATTATATGTAAATTGTGGTATATTACATATTTGTATATGATGCTAAAGATTGCCACTGCCATATTTTAATTGATGTTGAGAGATAATTATGTGAGCAGAAGTAGCATGTGTGGTGTGATCCAACAGAAGCTGCTGAAGTGATTACGTGTCCCAAGTCCCTATATGTTTAAGTAATTTTGTTCTAATAATTTGATTTCATGATGTATGCTGATTTCTTGTTTAATTGGGAAAATCAAGCCTTTTTGAAGTTGCCTTTATCCCATGAATTCAGAGGATTACCTGCAAGTTTGTGGAATGCTCAGTCTATGCAGTAGTTTGGAGTTAAAGCTGGACAAGTTAATGCTCTTTATTCTGCTTTACTTGATTTCATGTGGGAAGGGAAACAAGAGTTAGTGCTTCTTCAGTGTTTGTGGTGTGGAATTGGCTGTTGCAGTTTGTTTTAAGCAAACATTACAGTGAAAATGATAACAGCCTACTTCTGTTTAGGGGAGTACTTGCACCGTGAAGTTTATTCCTTTTCTTAATTCATGTATGAAGATGTTTTTAGACTCAGTAGTTGCTCTAATAGAGGCATGGGAAGAGTTGTTTTCTGCATTCCTATTTTTTGTTGTTGCAGAGATTATTCCATGGAGTACATTTGCTATACGTAGGTATGCTTTATTACTTGAAGAAAAAAATCAGTGCTGGTTGGTAATTTTATTTGTTCTTCAAGTGACAAAATAGTATTAATTATGAGTCTTAGTTTTCTACTACGTGGGCTTTTTTTTAGCACCAAAAACTTATGTCAGGAGTCTTCAGTGGAAAGTTTCCTTTTTCCCATTCCTAATACCTATATTAACTTCAGTTTTATTTCATTGACTTTTCCTTCCTTTGGCTGAATTGCATTAATCCGTAATGATTCTGGCCCTTTTCTGCTTAAGTTAACCTCAAAGTGCTTTGATTAGTACTCTGTTCAGTTTTTGCATCAGGAAAAACTGAAACTGCTGTTTGTGGATTACTGTGATGTGATTTGTGCATCACCCACTTGTATTGACTCCTCAGTCTCTGTTCTCATTCCTCTTTAGGAGGTTCCCTTATGTCTGTCATTTTGTTTGCCTTTATCTTAGAATTTATTTTAGCTCTTCCGACTTTGCTAAGTTGCCAGTGTGTTCTTAGCAATCTTCAAATATTTAAAGATTTCACAACTATTTTTCTTTTTGCGATCTTAAATAATATTTAAAAAATAGAAACTAGGTAATTTTTGCATTTAATATAAATGTGGATTTATTGGGTGCAATATGGAAATTAGGAAAATGCAGGGAAAATGAAACTAGTGTACTCAAGGCACTGGGAGTCGAGATGTAACTTACTTTGGGTTTTGATGAACTGGTCCTACTGCAGACCCCGCTGAATGTGTGTGCAGTGGTCGTCTGTCTGCTCGGAGTGACAGTGGTCATCCGCTGTACAGCGAACTCCCAGAGGTGGGTGAAACAATCAGAGTGTGTGTAGTGTAGCACTTTATTCTAAGGCTGGTATTCCTAGTATTTCTAATACGTTTTCCTGGATAGTCTATACTATGTCTAACAGGAAGAAATAGGAAAACCTGCCTTCCAGAGTCAGTTTCCCTGCTGTGTTTGCTCTATTCGTGTCAGGGAAGAAAGTAGACAAGTCTTTTTCAAGCAAAAACAGAGCCATTGAAGGAGGAATTGTCATTACTATGAAAAATATGATTGTAGCTATGTTAAGTAACTGTTTTTTCCCCTGATTTCCTGTCAATGTATGAGGTCCCTATAGTGTGTTCTGGACTTGTTGGTTTAGTTTGATGGCATTAGCTGACAGCAGTGAGGTCTAGATGGAGTGATCTGTGAAATGGTACTCATTTTTTCTTTGTGAGATCAGCTCCAAACCTATGCAACTGGCCAGAAAAGAAATTTCATCAGTGTGCTCCTGAATGAGTGTGATTGTACTTTTGGATGAGTGTGTTACAGACTGCTGCTTCTATCCATTCATCTCCTGTTGGAGTTGTAGCTGAGGCTGCTGGAGAGAGGTGCTGACTTATCATGTCTCTAGTGTTGCATTGCAGCAGACTGAATAATCTTGACCGAAGAATTTTAAGAATAGGAAGATTTTACTGCACCATCATTCCAGGAGGGTTTGGGAACTAAGGATCTGTATGCCATTGGGCAGTATGAGCACATTGTGGTAAAGAGTATGACCTGGTGGAAAACTGCCCTCAAACAAAAAAGACTATAAACTTGTCCATCAGCTAAGGTTTGTGTGCCCCTTCTCCTAATTAACATGATGCTGTGGTGGCTTATGCATAGTACACATCTTGTCAATGCCTAGTCTACAAGAGTCATCAGTTCTTGGAAAAAGTCTGAGTTACTTGCTCTTAGGATCTGATTTAAGTGTTTTAGTGGTAGTGAAATATTTCTTTGGCTGTGATTACTAGAGATATTTGAAATACTAGTTGACTTTAAAAGGAAAGTCAGGAAGTGCTTGCATAATACTTTCCTCAAGTTGGTATTTTTCTTTGTAATTCTGTAAATTAAAGCATTTTTTTAATTTGGCTGGGAAGTACCTTTGGAGGTCACTCTTTCCAACTTCCAAATGGAAGTAGGACTTATGCCTGTGCTAGATCAGGTCAGTCATGGCAGGGTCCAACTGAGTCTTGCAAATCTCTGTGGAGTCTTGCAAATCTTCTGTAACCTGCTTTGGATGCGAATAACTTTGTTCAGAGAAATAACTTGAACTGGGATGGCTGATGAGCCGTTTTCAGAATTATAGGCAAAGGATGTTACTTAAGTCAATTGGCAGTTGTACCTGGTTTTGGTACTGAATTCCTTCAGATTAAACAGAGACCTTCAAGGAAATTGGTCTAAAGTAAGCTGTTAGTGGCCTTACCTCTGAAATTACACCAATCAGATGGTTTATTCTGTCACTCTGCAGGGCCCTAACTCTTTATTGCAGCTCTGAGTTGCAAGACTGTAGTTCTGCCTGTAGGTGCTGGGCAGTTCTTTGAATGTTGGCTCCTCTGTAAGAAATTCTCACGCGCTTCCCTTTGAGCCTGTCATTTCATCCAGTTGAAGTTTTGCTGTCCTTAGAATTGCTTTCAGCTTGGGGAGAAAGAAATAATCTCCAAGTTTTCTGGGAGAAATTAGCAGGAAACTTGATGGTTTTAGTGGTATATTGGTAAACGGTGAAAAATTAGAAGACTGCTTTGTGGATATAAGTACAATTAGTTTGATAAATAATTATCCTGCAGAGAAGTGGCGTATGTACAGTATGTAAAACTGGCAGTCTGTCTGTGTCTTTGCAAACTTTATCTAGAGTTTCTAGAGTTCTGGTAACCTGTATGAGGCAGTGATCAATATGGCTTTCAGTCTGTGAAGCAAAAGGTGGTTGTTACTTGTAAACTGGGTGGCCAGTTTTAGAGAAGTATAAAGGATCGTTTGATGGGAAGTTGTCAAAATATATTTTCTACTTTGGATTGGTTTGTTGGTTATTTTCCTCTCCTGCTTATTTTATTGGTTTTGGTGTATTTCTGTGTTATTTAGTCTCACTTTTCTGTAGCAGCAGTATTACATACTGGTGGTTTTCTCATGTTTGTCTTGGCCCTTAAGTGGCTCGATTAAAAAGACAACTTATGGCAAACTCATTCACCATGATCATTTGGAAGTAAGTGGGGTAGGTGTTCATTTTGGGAGATGCTGATCGATAAACAAAATCAATATGCAGTATGTATCCCAACATTAGGATTATTTATATCAATGTTAATTCACCATGGAAATTATGAATCAACATAAAACTTTCTGTAGTAGTATCAGGATGCTTATCCTCTTGAATCTTTGTGATGTTCTTCTGGGAAAAACTGAAGAATAACTTGAAATTTGGTTTAAAATGCTTCTAACACAGCTTTTAATGAGTCCTCTTCTATCATTTAAATCAGTATATAACTTTTTCAGAAACTGGAGAATTAAATGTGATAAAATATGAACTGTTGCATCTGGATTTGTCTGAAAGCTGACTTGTGTCAGGTGTAGGAGCTGACAATTAAACACACTAAA